GTTCTAAGTTTTGATAGGTACTGTACCATCTATAAAACTGTCGACAAGGTCAGGAAATTACTTACAGCCTAGTTTATACATCTTAGACGCCGACAACGGTACGAGGCCTCGGCGCTACCTTCTGGCAGAGAGAAGCTTCTGACCTTCCAGCTGCTAGCGCAGTGCTGGGGCCCCATAAGAGCCCCCACACTTCGCTAGATTTGGATAGTTGACTTCTGATGGCCATGCTTCTGCCATCAGACTTGTTGATCACAATGTAAAAGCTTGGTGCATTATGAGCGGTGCTCAGCGGGTACCAGTGTGCTCGCACTTCATAAGCTGCAGCTCTGGAGCAGACTTTGTCAAGGCAAGTCGCAAGAGAGGGAGGCAGCGGCCGGTGCGGGCGAGACTGGCCAGGCCACTAGCATCTGTCAGGGTACCGCATGATTGGAGGGCAGCCTTCCAACCAAATTGGTGGAAGGTCCTCGGGTTACACAGGCTCCCTGGCCGTACCCTAATGTCATTGTACACAGTACTACTGCCCTCATGATTTGATACTATGTCCGCACCGCTCTTGCTTGTCAGGCTGTCGGCCCATCTCGCCCTGAGAGATTTTACCCTTAATTTTGCTTGCATCAAACAGAGGCTGAAGCGTCATGGGCGTCAGGCACTCGAAAGACTGCGCCGGCAATGCCGAGAACAAGTTCCCGCGTGCCATGTCAAAATGTTCGGAGACAGTGTTGAGGTTCAAGTTTGTCCACGCCAGCTCTGGGCAGTTTACAGTGTGCTCATGACCTCATGTTGAGATGATGAGGTATGTCTCCTGGGTTGGAAGCGACGCCACATTCTGGCTTTCATTTGTCCGTGGCTGTGGGGGATCAGAACTTAGCCGTAGCCGTGCTGTGCTTGCGGTCCAGCACGTTCCAACATGCCATGAGGCCTTTCGATGGTTCCAATAGCTAGGTGAAGTGTGCGCTTTTGTAGCCGCGTGCAGCTCTCTGTGGTAAGGATCTGACCATGCGGGTGGACTGCTGGATGCCCTTGCGAAGGCTCTCTTTCTTTCAAGTGCATGAAGAAGGACGCAAACACATTGGAACCAGGGCATGCAGAAAAGCATGGCCTTGAGAGTGCATCATTTTTTCAGTCGAGAGCGACTGCATTTCCTTCGGCATCTGCCTGCGAAAGCTGCAGGTGGCTGGCCTGACTATCCGTGTTTGGGCAGAAGGCTGGGCATCTTGACTGTCTGTTGATGTGACGTACATGCCGTATGAACACAGCCGGCGATCGATATGATAGAAACTGAAGAAGAATGCAGCCAACTTGCCAAGCAGACTTGTGTTTCGGCGTCTACTTTCAGAGGATGCCTTCTTCCAGCAGCTACTCTAGCAGCAGGCACATGAGCTCACATGTGGCAAATTGTGGCATGCCAGCTTCTAATAGGTAAGCATATCCACGTTTCGCTAGAGCTATGTCCTGTGTACTTGGCTTAGTTTGACTTCAAATTGGCCAGTCCCTCCTTGGAGGACCTCGAGCACCAATGCTTTCCTTGCTGCACGAAGCGCGCTTTGGTAGCCGCTTGGTGAACCTATGGTGCGCCTCAGTGCGATCTTGCCTGCGATAGACCACCTTTAAATGAGAAGGTTCGGCGGTAGGTTCGCCAGCAGATTGACCATAATGCCATAGCTGTTGGCACGCAGGATTGCTTGCCAAACATACTTGAGGTTAGTTGGCCTTGGCGCATTTTGCCAATGATTGCCAATGAGCCCAAAAGCTAGGTACTGCAAGGCTTTCAGCATGGCGCAGGTACAAGAGTGACATGGCCCACTTTGACCGCTTGGTCCCTTGCAGCTGAACGACAGGCACGAGTCTTATGAAGTTTTTCAGTTTACTGCGTTCTACCTGCTAACAGCGATCTTGACTGGCCTGACCGCGGCTGTGACTCCTCGATCCAGAGCGACGTCACTCGTTCACGCCCGCCACGCTGATTCCGAAGCACACGCCGATGCACTTCCAAAGATGTCTTGCCGGCTCGCAACCCGTTTGACACCAGGTTTATGAAATTGAGGCATGAACAGCCTGTTGTGGCATACCACGGAAACATGAATGAGGATGTTTTGCAACGGCTTGCAGAAGACATGCTGGCCTACTGCGGCCGGCGTCGACTCAGCACTGAAAATCCATTGCGCGTGCTTAGCCTTGACTGTTGCTGTGCAGCCCAGCATGGCCCCCTTTACTTTCCTACACGCAAGTCTAATTACGTGCCTTTGTTGCCACAGCGCGGATCAACAGGATCTTGGATCATATATAGGACGGCTACATCGACTTGATGTTGCAACTGTGGGGTTGCTATTGCTGCGACAGAGCAAAATGAACGATCACAGTCTATGTTAAAGTCGGCTGATTCTTCCAAGGATTCTCAGACATTGCGCTAAAAGAGCTCTGCAGTGTCCTGCTGAATTTAGATGGGCATCGGCTATGCGCTGATCGTCGCGCTGCCCACGGCTCATGGCCTAGGCTTGATTTCTTCCTGCTTTTCTTGGGTATAGAGGTGTGATTTCGCTCTGCTCGCATTCCAGGTGCGGACTTCTGCGAGCTGCCGGCTGAATTGGTGCAGTACCTGGACACTGCGCACACAAATGATATTCATGCTTTAGGTGATGCGGATAGGCCGGCCCTACCTACTTCAGACTTAACAGCAGAAGCCACAGAGAGCGTGAGTGGAAGGAATAGGAAGCAGGTCAGTAGAAGTGCGTAGTACGAGTAGTACGCGTGCACGGAAAATGGTGCTGACAACGGTCGCAGCATCAGTCTTGGATATTCGTGGTAGTGGACTTCGTCGAAGTCGTTGACGTCTTCGTAGTCATACGAGCACTTGTCGTGGTATGTTGTGGTATAGTTGTAGTCACCACAGCAGCCTGCAGCGGCAGCAGCCTGCAGCGGCGTAATTACCCGAAGAATAATGACCTGATGAAATCCCTCCGAGACCAGCCTCGTATTGCCGCAAGCTGCGGAAATTGTAAAAAATAGACATAGACACGACAAAGGCACAAGAAGCAGGCTCCCCGAGCTGCCTCGCTGCCTCGCTGGGTTTGGGTTTAGGGCTCACTAATTGTGTTGTTTCTTTCTTCCTCTGATCGAAAACAAAAAGGCAGCTGACAACAAAAGCAGCCCTTGGCTCGTTTTTGAAGCTTCCTTGACCCATGGCTATTGCGCCCGCGGGGTCCGTGACACGATAGTACCCCTGGGTCCACAAAACATGGCAATCCCAAGCCCATGAGATCAAGAACGAAACGAACGGAAAAAGGCTTGCACAGCGTCTTCACAGGCTGGCGCTGCCCGCCTGCGGATCTGTGGATACTCACATCCGGCCCCGATAAGGAATCATGAGTCTGGAAGCCGGCAGAGAAGAAGAACCTTTCCATTTCATCAGATACGATTTGGTGCCCGCACCAGCCCTTCAGGCTTGAGAGCTTATTGTTTTCTAGACAATGTGGAGTTCCGGGAACAGGTTCTGAACCCGCAACCTCGCAAGTGAAACGCTCACTGCTCCTCCTAGACCACGCTACAAGCTGGATGCACCTCCCTGACCAGCGAGCCCTTGCAGCAGTTTCGCGACTAATTAATTTGTCAAGTAATTACCTCCATGATATTCCACGATAATCAGGCCCCCTCTAGTTGCTACGGTAAAGTGCCTGAAGGAGCCGTGGGACAAAGCCGCCTTGAAAGGCCCGCAGGAGCACTGAGTGGCTTGCGACCTTGTCTGACAATCTTTATAATGTCAACCTGGCTGAGTCGTTTGTGCAACAGCAAAGCATGAGCAGTCGCTTGATAAAGAGATGCAAAGAGCAAGGGTACTATCCGCGAGGGCTCTGCAGACATGCAGATGGATGACAGGAGCTGCAACCTGGGCCAGAGCTCCTCGCATGCTTGCGCGCAGTGCAAGAGGCTTTGCGCCACTGCTGCTCATCCGATCGGTAGCTGTTGACTGGATTGCTGTCATACAATTCTTGGGCATGCTAGTTGCCACTTGATGGAAGTTTTTTTTTCCAATCAGGTTAATTAAAGCCGCGGAACCTTTAAGAATCGATATCGTCAGATTCAATGCAGCCTCAACAAAATTTGGTTCAAGCGGGCAGACTTGAGACGAACGGGGTGCGGTTGTTCCTACACGAAGTAAGGTATTACGGCCTGCTTTGCAGATTCAAGTGTCTGAAGACACCGTTTTGCGTGGGCTTATCAGCACAAGCACGCTCACATGGCAATCATGAGCTTCCATTTGCCATGAGGTGAGTCAAAGCCGTTCATGTGCAGCTATCTGCACAAACCTGCAGGTGATTCGAATCGCATGTGTGGCAATCCAGCGTGAGCTGGCAGTGCCTGGGCGTCAATGGAAGGACTTCAGCACAGACAGGTCACGTGAGAATTGCCCAGAATCACAGCTGTTTGACAGTGCATTTAACAAGTGTTGATGCATCTGCGGCAGCAGTCCCTGCTGCGTTGAACACGCGACTGCCACGACCCACCTTTTTACCCTGCTTCTGATGCGCCGCTGCACAACAACGCAGAAGCCAGTCGAGGATTGAACAATCCATTGAAAATGAGAGAGGGAACAGTGCGTCGCAGGACTTCAAGAAAACCTGGGATGTTTACCAGCGGTCGTTGCTACAAGGTCGCGGACCTGGCGGTTTTGCCTCGTGCCAGCAGCCCCCAAATTCCCGTGTCTCTTCTGTAGGGGTGTGGCTGGGAACACGAAAATCTGTTCAAGGCTCCATTGTTGATCTCAGCTCTCAATTAATTAGATTCAAAATTAGATGGTTGTCAATTCTTGGAGGATTGAATAACCTAATGTGCAGCTGCAGTAGGCGGTCCCCGCAACGGCTGCAAGCTGCCACGGATGCTGACATCTGCGCTGCTGCCTGGCGTGTTTCCATCCCAGATTGCCTGTGAAAGCCCCGTGTGCGTGCTGGCTTTTCCTGCTGAACAGAGAGGCTACCGCCCCGCAAAGGTCAGAACAGTTTTCCATGCTGGCTGGAGAAGCATCTTCAAGGCAGATGGCTTATTTAAAAGGATGCTGCTGCGAGTGATACCTGCTTCGCAAGTATCACTCTCGGCTTGAACAGACTGACACGGACACTTGTACAGTGAGGCAGTGGCTCTACTCTTTTCAGAGCACGTGGCGTATGGCAGCGGCCTAAGACATTGACCCTTCCATTTTTAGCACAGCTCCGCAAGCTTCGCCCTTACGCGGCGAAGGCTTTGAAGCTGCTCGAGTTCTTGCAGGTGATATCACTCGATGGTACTCGCCCCAGCAGCCCGAGCAGGGGAATGCGATTTGTGGGCATGAGAAGATGTGACCACAGAGTGCAACTCAACTCTGCGTTCAATGCCGCCATGGGCTCGGTGTTGGTGCTCCAAGGTTTCAGCTGGATGTCAGATCTTGCTTATGATCTGCACAGACGAGCCTTCCGGAAGGATGGGCTGAAATTTCATAATATATACCCAACAAGGTCTTGCGAGTGAAGCACGCAGGTGGGTGTTTGAGGGGCCTGTCGTTCCGTGCCATGCGCGGAAATCCAACCCTAGCCCTACTTGAGCAAATTCTTCAGGGGATTTGCGCATGCAGTGGCAGCCCGTCGGGAATACAATTGGCCAGAAGTCAGCTGAGAAGAAGTTGACGAATCGTGATTGAGATGAATGCAGGCTTCAACCGTTGCAAGAATCGTTTCCAGAATCCTTTGTGTTGGCGAAGCGTCACACATCATCAAACACATACATCCCAAAACGAAACATTCGGAAATTCACGAGCAAGCAGCCCAAGATGTTTGTGGATGTTGCTTGAACTGTATGCATCCCGTAAGCGCGCAGCTGTAGCGAGTGTGCAATTGATCGCTGACACATGTTCTGAATCGCAACTGCAGTTGCGACCGTCTGAGTGGCCGCGCGTTGTACCTCGAGAAAGGCCAACACATGTTCTGGCGCCCACTGTGCCGCGCACTGCTAGGACTTCGACATCTTTGGCACGGTGTCTTTAAGCCTTGGCTGCTCGGAGTCCCTTTCGTGCAGGCAAGTATCACGAACTGATGAACCATTTACATACACCCTTAGCAAAGTCATTCAATGCTCGCCAATTCAGCGCTTCTTGCGCCTGAAACAACGCCTTGGCACAATCAGACTGCCATCAAACCTGTCGTCTCGGCTAATGCGGGTAGACAGCAGGATAACAGCGAAACTTGCAGATGCAAATTCAATCCCTGCTACAGCTGTGCTGATGGAAATGATCCCAGGGTGTCTTCGGAGCCGCCCAGTGGCTCTGGCGTGCGTGCGAAAGCCCAAAGAAGCTCTCTTCAGTTCAGCTCGGTTCAGCACCTGTCTTTTCAGCGTCTCGAAAGGAGCTTGAGGGGCATCGGCCGAGCCTAGTATGGCTAGAGGAGGAAAGCCACCCCCCTTCCTTCCTTCAGTGGTTTGTCGCAGAACGGCATCGCTTGTTGCAAGCCTTTGTCTGTGGAAATTTGCCCAATCAAGGACGTGATTGTCGAAACCACTGCGCAGGTAGTCAAGTTTGATTGGCATCAGCTAGCATCTGACGAAAGGCCAAACCGTGTTTTGAATTTCTGCAAACCTCCCAATTGGACAATTTGATCCACCCATGCTGAAAGCCTAACACGTAGACATGGTGACGTTTGGTGGTATTGAGCCTGCGCCGCAGGACGGCCAAAGCGAAAGCGCAATTTGGGCATCTGTGGCCAGGGCTCCGCCGACCTTCAAGTTCTCTGGTTGCAACACTGACTTCTCCAATCTTCGTCATTGGACGGGCTGAGCGTCCTTAATCCACTTGCGTTTGTGGTCTGCAGGTCTCTCCAGGATCAGGATCTCAGAATCTTGAAGCATTACTCGTACTGCTCAGGCTGGCTGGCCTTTCCGGCGCGTGGGCAGCTGGCGGCAAGATGCGTGGCCCGGCACTGCGGCACGATATACCTGCAAATCGAGTGGTAGATGCTGCCGTCCGAGGTCGTCAGGCCGGGATCTCAAGAAAGCCCCCCACCAAAAGCCACCGCCAGCACATGCTAACACCATTTTAATTAAAAGCCTGGATACTGGTCATAGCGCGAAGCAATGCGCTGCATGGCGGCTGAGTCGCCCATGGATAGTCTAAAGCTGTACTGTAGCTGCTCGAGAGACTTGATGAAAGAGTTGTTTGTCTGCAGGACTCCAAGCCTTTTCGCATGGTGGAAGTTGGCGTTTTCCAGGGCAACCTTTCGCGACACGTCTGGCGTCGAGCAGCACGCCGTCCAGGTTGATCGGCTTGTTTAGAAGAAGAGATTTCTTGAGCCCATTTGGCTGAAGTGTAGGTACATTTGAACTTCACCTCGTGGACCACTGGGGAGCTGCAGATCAACCGATGGGTGCTCGTAGCCAGGCTCTGGAAGGGTCACCGCAGCTCTCCTGCAGAACTGTGAATACTGCAGGGACTCGGCTGTGAGTCCTACGGCCCTTTTAAAGTTTGCTGACAGTATTGCCTGGAGATGCCTGGAGAATTGTGTGTGAAACTGAATAGCAAACGCAGCAGACGTAAATCTCAGAAGACTACCTGTAGATTGAGAAACACACTGTCAGGAATGGTATCTGAACAAATAGATGCCGGCTCATCATGTGATCTGCGTGTGCATACACATTGTGTATGCACACGCAGATCACATG